TACCCACACTGACGGACAAAGGCTCAACGCATTGACACAACTGATGGGGGGGGGGGGGGGCAGTGCCGGTTGAGGCCTGAGTGCAAACATGCTCAGAATTTGAAAATGCCTGAACAATGAAACTCATTTAGTGCCACTCCAGGTAAGGAGGCCTCTTTGCAGTCCCTTTTGACCACTTCGCTATAGTGTCCCTGAGGAAGAGAGTTAACCACAATTTTTATTTTTTCCTCTTAAGGCAGAGATGTTTTGAGTGGTGTCCCCTCCTAAGTGAACACTATTGTGGTATAGAGTTCGCACATACCCTCATATTAACGCAAAGCGTAGTTAGTTACGTACTTTGTGGACATACATCAAGCACTTGGAGGTTCCATTGTCAATTATCATTGAAAAAGTTAAAGCAACCATCCAGTCAGTCTCACAGAGAGTTTGCGCGATCGTTAGATCGACCATCATCAGCACAAAACCATACCATGCTTCATTTACGACCACTTTAGCATTCAGCTAAACGGATGCACCTTGATAATGCACAATTCATACACGATCGCTATCTGAAGACATAAACGGAATGACGACTTGGCAATCTTTGTGCACAAGATCACATTTTTTTTCATCGCCAGGCAAGTCGCACTCGGAGACGGGCGAATTGCCACTCAGGAACCCATGTACATGTACATTCTTCCCCATTTTCCGTTTCAGGATCGATCCATATGACGTCCTGGGGTTGCTTCAGCATCAGAGAATGTAATGTGCCCAGGCAAGCGTGCAGTGATTTGTTTTTTTTTCGTTGATTTATTTATTTATTTTTTTTTTCACCTTTTCGTTCGCATGAAAAAAAAAGCCGGTTCATAGTCGATAATGTGAACGCGGACGTTATTTTGCGACATCACGAATTCGCAAACGTTCAACACATTTCAACTCCGGCGAATTTCGTAACGAATGTTCCGAGACTTTCAAATTCGCTTCGCATTTGCGGCAAGTACGAACTGCGGCTTCAAGTCAGATGTTTTGACAAAACAAGGCTGTTCGTATCTTTAACGAGAATGCGAGCGCCAATCAAATCCCATGTCAGATACAAGTCACTCAACACAATTCGCGTTCTTTTTCCGCCGCCCTAAAAGAAAATTTGGTTATGAATCTGACCGTGCTTACAGTCTTTACAGACCGACACATTGGCGACTACGAAATGTATGGACCTGCTAAATGATTTCGCCTATATTATGTTATAGGCCTTCACTTGAAAAGCAACGACACTGCTCGTAAATTGAATTTTGACAATGCAGTTAATATATCCATTAACTATAATTATTTCATGTCAGAAGACGTACTAATATAATGAGGGTGCATTTCCAGTACCATTTTACCCATTCTTGTAAAGTTGCCTCAATGAGCGGTGCGCAATCGAGCATGGGACGAGCATGCGTGTCAGGTGCCAAATGCAAAGCTGTCACGGGAACAAGCTGGGCACGTAAGGTTAAGCCGCTTCATAAGACATCACGGCCGTTGTAAAGTTTGGCTAGACGGGATGATACAATTGAGGCATTACGAAACCGCACACTGAACAATAACGCATGTAAATCTGAATGAAGTTACAATGTGGGTAGGTGTATATGTACACCCACATTCTTTTATTCTTTCTTGAAGGACTCATAATAATGTGAAATTTCAGAATAAAAAAAAAAATGAGCACAATGATAAGTGAAAAATGCTAAGGCCGCATTCGAATTACTTGGGTTCGGCCGTCTGTAACACACACGTGTCTAATTAAGAGAACATGGGTCGAGCCACTTCCATAGGCGCGTGTTTAATTGCAATCTGAAGCCAAGTATTGAAGTACATGTAATTCGAACGTGGCTTCATTTTGATTATATGTTCACGAAAACAGCTCTTCCAATGTTTACCATACCGGGATGTAATTTGTCAATACATTCAATCTCGTATTTCTTTTTCTGAATTAAAAATGACCATCGACCTGAATTCTGTATTCACTTTGGCTAAGGCCAAAAAAAAATTGTCTCCGGTTTCTGGTATGGAAATTGCCCAAAAAGTGGTGCGGCGACGCGGTTTTTTTTTTTTTTACTTGTTTTTTTTGCTTCAAATGTCGGCTGAAGACTGCAAATGGTGCCCGACTAAACTTAGTGCAAATATTATGGGAGACCAGAGAGGCCACATAAAGCTAATTCTCGATCATAACCCCATCTAAAAACACGTTAAAATTGTGCAGCAGCAGGATTCCAGTCAAACCAGTGATTTTGGCGGTTTTGAGACATCATCTTTCATTGGAAAAAAAAACGTTTTCATATTGCCGACGCGCATGGCTACGGCGACGCGCGCGCATACCAGAAACCGGAGACTTTTTTTTTTGGCCTAATGAACATTCAATACAGGTGCAGACAGAAATTCAAACCTAGAATTTTTTTTTTTTGAACAAACATTTGTTCATTGATTCGACATATACTGTCGTTAATTATTGTAATTAATAAGTCCAGCCACTACGCAGTGGTAGACAATATATATTTGCATAAATTACGATATTTACATCTTATTGCACCTATACAATGAATATTCATCTGTTTAAAATTAAGTATCTAACCATTCTGAAGACTATTTTCCCTGTCGTAAAGACTAAGAACAGCAAATGGTACAAGAAGGCATTATACAAGCACCAAAATGTAAATTAGTTGGGCTGTTTGTGTTTAGCGATACTTTTGTAGAAATAATGCTAGGCCTATATCAGAATATTAGCCTAATGATAAAATTTTTTAAAAAGTTTCTTTATATGTGATTAGGTGAATATCGATTACAACCCCAGCAGTTAAAGGCGCGGATTCAGAAGGGGGGGGGGGCGGGTTCTGACACACACAAAAAGACCAATTACAACAATGTAACAATGTGCATTACCTGTAATGTGTCGGCCTGTCCGCAACAATCGGACATGAAACAAAACTGACGGGCCTTAAACCCCCCTGCAAAAAATCTTGGATCCGCCCCTGAGTTATACACAGCCCTGAGGTGAGTACACAAGCCATGAGAGAGTTTTTTATAGAAGGTCAGGGGTTCGAGTCCCGCCTAACTAAACGGTAAACTCTATATACAACAGCAATAAGGGGACAATTACTTCTTTCAACGAGACGGAGTAATGCCTTAATAATATAAAATGCCATTCGTGTGAAAGACGCGTATAACTGTATAATGCGTTCGAGTTTGAAAGTACAAGTGTGTACAATTTTTTTAAAACAAGTTTGTTTAGAAATTCTAAGGCAGCTAAGGCCAAGTACTTATGCAAAAGCTTATAAGGCCAAACAAAATAATGTCGGTCTCTGGTCAGCGCGCGCGTCTATTTTAATCATGCGCGTCAATCTTTTTTTTTCCAAAATGTTCCGCGGTAGCTCCAACAGCGCCCTCTATTGCCGCACCTCCTCATTTTTTTTTTACCAAAGAGCACCAAGGAATGGGAAATTGCACCAAGGCAAATGACCGAGAGCACCAAGGCAAATTATGGAGGACACCAATGTACATGAGGACACCAAAAAAGCAAAATAGTACCCCACCTTGTCTGTACAATCGAAGCTTGAAGAAAAAAAAAAAGCGGCGTCCCCGCGTCAATTCCGGAAGTTTGGTCTGACCAGAGACTGAATATTTTTTTTTTGGCCTTATGGTGATTTTTGTTTTAGATGAAGTACAAATTAAAGGGAGAAAAAGAAGAAAACTGTAAGAAAGATCATTTTGACATTTTTTCAGCTACATTTAGAAAACAAACAGGGAAAATATCTTTTAGGTTAAAAGCAAATATTTGTTGATCAAATAAAATGACTGATAACTGCACACTTGTTAGTCTTTCATTAATATCACTACGAGATAATAGGCAGGATTTGAGCGTAAAAAAAGAGTGAACCAAAGCTGTAAAATGACATCAAAATAAATTGCTTTCTTGAAATATAAAAGAGAAAGAAAGATGCCAGTGCATTTTTATGCATGCTCCTCTTTCAGCCATTTTGGTTCGAACTAATCTTTCAAGCGGGAAGAATTCCGTACACGGACATCATTAAGTTTTCCCTGCAGTGAACTATCAGCCATTAGAAAGTGATTACATGTCCTAGAAAGTCAAATTTAGCAGGGAAAATATTGAAGCATTAACTGAGAAAACATTTTGAATTTTTCAGACCACTCTCATCATAATAGGTTTAGTCCACAGGGTGTCAAGTGATGTCTAGGTATGGAACTCGTTCCTTTCAAGTTTGATAATTCGTTCCTTTCTTAGAAATTACCTTTTTGGCAAGTATTTGTTCTTATTTGAACGCTCATCATTATCATCACATTTTGCGCAAAAGATACTATTTCATTTAAAAACCGTTTACGCAATGCGAAACTGAACAAAATATAAAAACTCAGACGAATGAAATAAAAGTATCTTACAATACTGCCCAACTTCAAAACCTCTGAATCAATATTGCAATCAAATTGCTGTGTACAAGATAATTTCCAAATAATTTGAAGGAAACAGTCACAGTTAACTTTGGATCTGTTTTGAATTATTATGCAAATTAAGGCAATTCATATATTTGTCAATATCTATAGAGGATCTTTTATGAATATATACATAAATGTACAAAATAGAGACATTCCTTCTCTGAGATCATAACAAAACTGTTCAGTGAGCTACATCCAAATACAAATAAATTTACTATTGTTTTCTCAACCTAAATAAGGTCACTTCTTCAAACGGGGGTTTCAGCTTATTCAAGACAAAATGTAAACAAAACGAAATACTCAAATTTGAGAATTTCGTGAGGATAAAATTTAAAGGATTTCCTCCCACACTGTACACATGTATGCATGTATACGATGAACTCAGCACCAAGAAAAAAGGGGGAAAAAGAGGGGGGAAAACCTAACATTTTTTTTAAGTTGCTTTCCTCTTTATCAATATAATCTTTGGCAATGTGTTTGAATTTTGGTTAAAAAACTTCAATTTTTATACATTTACTACACGAATGCCATAATCCACTTTGAAGTGTCATTTTCAAAAATGACCTCCAGGAAGATTTTTTTTCAGGTTAAACATGCAAGTTATGCATTGCAAGTAAAATAATGTAATCAGCAAATGCAAACTATTGTCAGGGGGGACGCCTGAAATACGTTATTGATGAACCCCCAACCAGCTCAGTAGGCTAAACTGCACCTTCCATGGTACACAATGAATTCAAATGCAAAACAGCATTCGATCAAGATATTCCAACCTTTATTTAACAAGTTAACACAGGGAGTGTACGACTCTTTCCTGCTCCTATTAAATATTAATAATAACTTCAATACATGCAGTTGAATATATTTGTGCCTTTAGAAAAGATCTCTACCCAGCATGTGACAATTAGTCGGAGCCTGATCAAACGATTCTTAATTTTTGAATTTAGCTGATATGGCCGTCCTGGTTTAGCGGCTCCATGCAATCAATTTCAGAGTCTGTCAGTGGAGTGCTTAACAGAGCCTCTTGCTGTTGCTCTAAACGTTTGGCATCAGTGAGATCCTGATCCAAGTCCCCTCTCAACACCTCCGCAAAGCCTGTCTTCTCGAGGTCTCCCGATCCGCACGTTGGTTCCGAGGACGGCGCAGCCTCGGCGTACGCGTTCATGCTCAACGTCAGCGAGGTCATCTGGTCCAGGCTGATGTTGGAACCGACGCGCCGGTGCCCCGGCGAGGGCGGTGTGATGTGCGCGTGGGCCATCACATCCTGCATCTCTGTCGGAGAAGAGGGCGCTTGAGTAGAGCTCCCGGTTGCATCTTCACTCGAAGGCGTCGGACCATCTGGGCCTGAAGTCTTTACATCATCCTCTGAAACCACTGGTTCTGATTCTGCTTCAGTATCATCGCTCAATTCTGCAGTGCGAGTCTTGTCTCTAACACTGAGCACTTGTTCATTGTTAATATCTCTATCTTTCATCTCCTGGGTCCCCAAATGACTTCTTGGCTCACCAGGATCAGGCTCGGTCTCAGATTCCGCAAATGAAATGATAGACTTGTATTTCTTTGCAGCATTTGCCCGGGGTCTGTCCTCGGGCACTGCATGTTCTTGGAGTGGGCTTGGCTCATCAATGGCCGCGCGACTACCCTCAGTTATCTCGCTATCTTCATGACTACTCCTGACGTTTTCAGTGGTCAGGGCAACGAATTGGTTGGGCTCATTTAGGACGTCAGGATTTAGTGGTCCCAACGCTGTCTGTTTCAAGCCATTGTCACTTGTCGTCTCTTCTCCCTGATCAGAAATTGAAACCCCATCAGCTGATGTTGCTTGTGTCCCCTCAGCTATCCCATCGATGCTGCCCCTATCTCCACCTACATCGGGACTCTCCTCTGAAACCCCCGTATTTCCTGCAATCCAGCCTTCGACGCCTTGACGGGGTGGCTCGGCCTCGTCAAGTGAGGGTGCTCTAATGATACGCCGGGGCTGGCTCTTGTCCACGGTGCTGACGTGCCTCAGTTTGTTGTGATCAAAGTGCTGGATGTGATACTGCATAAATGATAAAAAAAAAAAAAAAACAGCAAAGTGAAAACACTGGCTGGTCATTTAATTACCCGTTCTTGACAAGTATGATGGATTCATCCCTGTATAATCGTTTCACCTCTGGATGATGGGTTCATGGCATTTTGTGTAATTGGCTTTTCACAGACGGCTTGAATCACCTGAGCTCATACATCATTAACAGAGATGCCATACACATTAAGCTCCCAATGGCATGCTCACTGGTGAAAAGTGAAACCACTGCAATTGTTTTTATTGAGTTTGCCAACTTCCTGTAAGGCTTTGATTTCAGTAGATGTTAAGTCCCTGACTTAGGAGGTTCCAGCTCCAGATGGGGACACAGGCAAGGCCTAAGTTTGGAAAAGCCCCCCCCCCCCCCCCCAGTCTGAGTATCGGCCCTTCTTCACGGAGCCCTATCTATCTCCGGTCAAACGTCTGACATATCCTGACATGCAAATTTATGCAAGCCGCACGCCAGCCAATCGGAGTCGACTTTACTAAATCGTGACGTCATTTCTTTCCCAAATCAGGACTAACGTTGTGATTGGTCAGTTCGAATGCAGTGTTTTGTAATACAACAGCCGGGAGTGCATTCGCGTAACATGATAACGAGCGCCGGGCGCCGTGACAGTTTTTTTTATCCATGTCTATGACACGCAACGGGTGGATGACCGAAGACCCGATAGACCTAGGTATAGAAAGCGCCTGCTGATTGGTCAAAATCTAGGAAGTCAAGAGGCGGGTTCTTGCCTAATTAATCACCGAACTTGTTCGCGCATAATAGACCACGGCATTCACCGTGGTCCATTACACAAACTTTTGTTAAAATTTGTTAAAATTTTCATGCCCGAGTTTTTGAAAGTTGCACCATTGAAGATAAGTTGTCAAGTGGAATTGTTCTTTTTTCCATTAAATTACGAGTAAGTAATAGATTGAATAAGTTTCACATTTAAAAATTGGGGCCCACTCCAATGTCATAGTAGTAGTATTTGCACAGTGTTATTCAGACAGTATAGCCAATGAAATGCATACTATCTTATTTTTCGACACCAAGAGTGTAGTAAGTTGTTCTTTTTTTTTCCCGGTTTGTCTTTTCTTTTCTATTTTCTTTGAAAATTTTTAAAAAATGCATTGCCAGGAAAATTCCATTCAATTCACAGAGCAGAGAAAAAAAAACTTGTAAACTTGTTAACTTTAAACTAGGTTGAAGTGAAATTTATACATTCCAAGAAAAAAATATTTTGTTTTTTTTGGGGGGGGACAGGAGGGATAATTCACAAAATCAAGTCAAAAGATTTTGCCAAGTTCCAGCTCACAGGGACACTCGTGTGCACTTACCAGTGGGCCCTCTCCCACTTTGCAAATTGTACAACCGTCCGTGCCTGCTTCCCATGAGTAGAGACGTGACAAGGAAGTAAAAAAAAAAAAAACCCAACCCATGGTTTTGCAAGATATAATTTCCCCACTGATATTATATTAAACCTCACTTAGCGTAATGAATTTGCCAGGGATCCAGTGTAAACATGCCGTGAGAGCACTGACCGACTGCCCCAGCGAACCGCTATCGATTTAAGACCTTAAGGGAAGATGGGGGAGGATGGGGGAGGACGGGGGGGGGGGGGGGGGGGGGGGGGGGGGGGGGGGGGGGGGGGGGGAGGAGGAGATGACCCTCCACAGCAGGAGCCAGAATCACTCCCGTCAGATCAAACCAGTCACCAACCAACCATAGGCAAAATAAAATTACAAAAAATTTCAATATCATAATACCGTTGTTTCCCCCAAACGAAATGACACTCTGCAGGGATCGGAATTCGGTTGTGTTTACCAAAGCAGTTCACTGTCCTACTCTGCATTCATTAGTTACATATGGGTGCCATATTCCAATTTCATTCTCTTCTTTCTTGTACTCCAGAGGCTCACACATCAGTCGTCTTCAATTGCTTTCGGATTGCTCCCCTGCATAGATTTCTTATTAAGTTGAGTTCTTCTCGCCTGTGTCCTGCTGTTCTTCATGCATTATTTCAGACCTCATTTTTAATTCATGACTTTTGCAAATGAGCCCTTGTATTTAATAATGAAATGTGATCGGTCACGATTTCCAATAGGGGCAAAATACGCATCACTTTAATATGACAAGCTGATTTATAGAAGATGGGGCTTTGCCTTGCCCGCTTTGCGGGGGCGGCAACTTCACAGCCTGACGCCCGCCAATCATCCAGCGAGCCAGCCAGCCAGCAAGCCTTGCCTTTAAGCCAACCAGCTAGCATGCCAGCCAGCTAGCCAAATCAGCCAGCCAGCCAGCCAACCACCTAGCATGCTAGCCAGTCAGCCAAACAGCCTGCCAGCTAGCCAGCCAGCCAACTAGCCCGCCAGCCAGCTAGCCAGCCAGCCATCAAGCCAACCACCTAGCATGCTAGCCAGTCAGTCAAACAGCCTGCCAGCTAGCCAGCCAGTCTGCCAGCCAGCTAGCCCGCCAGCCAGCTAGCCAGCCAGCCATCAAGCCAACCACCTAGCATGCTAGCCAGTCAGTCAAACAGCCTGCCAGCTAGCCAGCCAGCCTGCCAGCCAGCTTTGCCCGCCGGGGAGCTAGCCAGCCAGCCATTAAGCCAACCACCTAGCATGCTAGCCAGTCAGTCAAACAGCCTGCCAGCTAGCCAGCCAGTCTGCCAGCCAGCTAGCCAGCCAGCCATCAAGCCAAACAGATAGCATGCCAGCCTGTCTGTCAAACGGCGAGCCAGTCAGCCAGTCAGCCAGCCAGCCAGCCTGCCAGCCAGCCAGCCTGCCAGCCAGCTCCCCTGTGGGGAGCTAGCCAGCCAGCCATCAAGCCAACCAGATAGCAGGCCAGCCTGTCTGTCAAACGGCGAGCCAGTCAGCCAGCCTGCCAGCCAGCCAGCAACAAACCAATGAATTAATAATTAAGAAAAAATTCAGATTTACTCGATGAATCACATCGCATGTACTTTTATGACCGAGGGCCACCTGGAACTGCCTAAGCAAAGAATCCATCTATAAAAAGCACATCACCATCCATAAAAAAACCCACATTGATCAAGCTTTAATATCTAACCTCCAGATAACCAAACGCCTGTATTCCTGGCTACGCAATGACAAGGATATATAGCACTTCCCATCATCAACAGATTGATATCATCATCACAGGTCAGATTGCTGCTAATCACATACACCCCGGCTCAAATCGAGCTCAATTCTGACACAGCGTTCTGTGTGGAACTTGCACCCGACTCCTACTAATAGAGACCATCAGAAATAATGTGGGTATGTGAGATGCTTAAAAGTTCTTGATTACAGTTTGTGTGATAACTATTTCACCGGGGGTAAGTGCAGTGTTGCCAGCTAGACCACTTTTTTTTTTGGGGGGGGGGGGGGTTGACAACAAATTAGCCGACAGGCCATCCCCGCTAAAAAGGTAGACAGGATTTTCTCTAGGGAACCCGGCATCTGTACCCCCACATACATGTCCTTCACATCAATGACACATGAATGAACCTGTTCATGTACTGTATGTATCTACATGTGCACATGTACATGTATATCTGACCATTTTGTACACTGCCAATGCAGGGTGTCTCAAAAAAAGGTAACCCAACTTGAAAGGGTTATTATGGCCAGACTTTTTGTTTACAAGCAAGAAGCATGGTATCATCTTAAAGCTGAAGCTGTGCGCTTTTCAATGATACCTTGGGTTATATTCGCTTTTCAACGATACCTTGGGTCACATGTGGTTGAGGCTGGTTCCATGTGTTTCATACTTTCTCACATTGGCCCAGATTGTTTTCTTTGCTGGTGGTTCTCGGTCTGGCAATGCTTCTCCAAAAGCATCCTGTGTAGCCTGCAAACTTCTTGGTTCATGCCATTTCTTGACCACAGAGATTCTCTGTTCTGCTGTTAGCTGAACCATTAAAACAACCTGAGGTTTACACACTGTCTAAAAGCTAGAATGGCATGTAAAAGTGAACCAACTACATTTGTGCACCACAACTTCAAGACAATGGTGCTCCATGATGCGTGACCCTTGAATATAACCCAAGGTATCATTGAAAAGCGCACAGCTTCAGCTTTAAGATGATACCATGCTTCTTGGCTGTAAACAAATAGTCTGGCCATAATAACCCTTTCAAGTTGGGTTACCTTTTTTTGAGACACCCTGTAGGCTGTAGTGTGCCTTGTGTAATCATCATGATACAAAATGGTGATGTGTACTTGTATGTCAAATAATGTATACGTACATTTTGTACATGTCTCCTGAGAGAAGGACTTTGACAAACTTATGAGGGTTTTTTAATGAAAAGGATAATTTAATAACAAAGCTTGTGCCTTGCAAGACATACATGTACGTGTCTAGGTATTGAATATCCACAGACCTTTATTTCCAAGGTATTGTTCACTAAAAGGTAATAAACAACCATTACAAACATCAAGTAACAAAACCACCAAATGATTATGAAATACCTTACTTGACAGTGAGTGAATAATAGTTTCAAACATCCTGTGAAATATAGCACCTGGTATGCTGTCATTTTTAAGAAAAGTGGATTTTTTGTATCAATTTCCAATGAACCGACCATTCTTGGAAAAATCGAATTTTTTTTCAAATACTTCCCCAATTTTAGTCAACATTTCCGGATCACTTTTCATACAAACTGCTGTACACCCGCTCATGTTCGGAGTTTCCGTGTCCGAGTGACATCATTTTATAGTAAAATTCCTCCTCTTCAAGTTAAAACCAAATATGTTCACACAGACTCAACATAAGGGAAATAAATCATGTCTTTTGTACAGGACTGAACCCGACAGTCCAGATCATGCACGCTGCGCTACCTGGTACATGTACAATTCATCATTCACGGCGCGCTCAGCGCGCGTGTCGTGTGTCACGCCCTCATCATGTAAACTACACACAAAACTGCATCGTGTGCATGGCTGATCAGCAACTGTCTCAAGCGGGGATAGCAATATTTCGGCGAATA